GGGCTGGGCCCAGATTAGATGTTAACGAGGGCTGGGCCCAGATTAGACGTTAACAAGGGATGGGCCCAGATTAGATGTTAAAGAAGGCTGGACCCAGATTATTTGTTAACAAGGGATGGGCCCAGATTAGATGTTAACGGGGGCTGGGCCCAGATTAGATGTTAACGAGGGCTGGGCCCAGATTAGATGTTAACGAGGGCTGGGCCCAGATTAGATGTTAACGGGGGCTGGGCCCAGATTAGATGTAAACGAGGGCTGGGCCCAGATTAGATGTTAACGGGGGCTGGGCCCAGATTAGATGTTAACGGGGGCTGGGCCCAGATTAGATGTAAACGGGGGCTGGGCCCAGATTAGATGTTAACGAGGGCTGGGCCCAGATTATATGTTAACGAGGGCTGGGCCCAGATTAGATGTAAACGGGGGCTGGGCCCAGATTAGATGTAAACGGGGGCTGGGCCCAGATTAGATGTTAACGGGGGCTGGGCCCAGATTAGATGTTAACGAGGGCTGGGCCCAGATTAGATGTTAACGGGGGGCCATGTTTGGCCCTCTGGCCTTGAGTTTGACACATTTTACATCAATCATCAGAAACAAAAGACGGTTCAGATTTTAAGACAACAGATGGCTTCAGCATTATTTATTTATTTATTTATTTATTTTAAATATGAAAACAAAAGCATGTTTACAAAAACAACATTTAATTTTTTCTTCTGACTGTAACGGACGCAGGTAATGAAACGTCTCATTTCTTCCTCGGTGCTGTGAGTCTGCAGCAAAACAAAAGTTTTCATTCCCGACGAGCAGCGGATCCAAAAATAACCCAAATTATTGTGACGTGTGGCTGAGGAATAATTTTAATCTCATCTGAATTGTATAAAAAATTAAGAGGATAAAATCCAAAATGTGTCTGAGGTGAAATGAGCGTGTCTTAAAAATGATAAATAAAAATGTCTATATGACGTTAATTCAGTTGAAGAGATTAAACAAAGTTTAAAACTGTGAATTGAAATCTGTTTATTAATCATCACTGATGTAAATAAACTTCACTCAGAGGAAAATTTAAACTGACGGTTTTCACCTCGTCCCGCTGAAAACAGGAGAGAAACTTTCAAGATTTATTTTGAGAATTGAGACTTTGATCCAACAGCTGCAACAACTAGATTAACTTCCAGATGTTAAGTCGAGCCAGTGAGTATTTTCTGAAAGTTTCATTAGAAAATGATCATTTTAAGCTTTTTAATCCAGATTATTTCTGCACTTTGTCTGATGACCAGCAGGGGGCAGCAGCAGGTCAGTGTGAGCAGCTGCTGGAGGATTCAGGAGTCACAGAAGCTGCTTCAGGTCCATCGGCAGCAGCAGCTTCTGTGACCTTCAGACCTGCAGCTGATTAAAGGCGAAGGCTTCAGGTGACACGGTGGCCTCCTGGGAGCATTTAAAGTCCAGAGGAACCACTTCCAGATCCAGAGTGAGACCGTTCAGACTCATCCTCTGATGCAGACTCCCCAGGAGGGTCAGACCTGAGTCACGTCTCTGAAGACCACCAGCAGGAGCCCTCAGAGGAGGAAATGACATCACTGCTGGTGCTGATTGGCTCAGGCGGTGCCACACATTGGAGTGTTTGAACTTTAATTTGAATCGTGCGCACGTATGTGTGTGTGTGTGTGTGTGTGTGTGTGCTGCAGGACTGAACATGGCCTGCAGCTCCTTCAGGAAAGGCCTCGTGTCGTCAGCGTACGGTTGGAGGTTCAGACTGATCACCATGAACAACAACCTCATCGTGCGTCTCCTGCAGGACACTGTTGTTAGAGCCCCCCCCCCCCCCCCCCCCCCC